CGTTAAGTTGGTTCGAATCCCGTACAGGCCTGATTTTTTTCAGGTCTGATTTTCGCTATTGCTTAAATAGCGCTATCTACTGCGAGGATCGTGCATCATACGTATCTAATACCGCAGTTCAAAATATATGAACTTCATATATTTCATTGTATCTAATTTATCACTTTCACGGGTTTATTACGAATCAACTTAACGGCCTGCTCCCAGTTGGCTTGTTAGCTCAATTGGTAGAGCGCTGCACTAGTATCGCAGAGGTCAGTGGTTCGAATCCCGTACAGGCCTGATTTTTTTCAGATCTGATTTTCGCTATTGCTTAAATAGCGCTATCTACTGCGAGGATCGTGCATCATACGTATCTAATACCGCAGTTCAAAATATATGAACTTCATATATTTCATTGTATCTAATTTATCACTTTCACGGGTTTATTACGAATCAACTTAACGGCCTGCTCCCAGTTGGCTTGTTAGCTCAATTGGTAGAGCGCTGCACTAGTATCGCAGAGGTCAGTGGTTCGAATCCCGTGCAGGCCTGATTTTTTTCAGATCTGATTTTCGCTATTGCTTAAATAGCGCTATCTACTGCGAGGATCGTGCATCATACGTATCTAATACCGCAGTTCAAAATATATGAACTTCATAAATTTCATTGTATCTAATAAGAATGACTATCGTCAACATACCGAAACCACCATTTGGGAGGGTAGACGGGAAGACGGGAAGAAATAAAACGAGTAAAGGCCGTTTCGCGAGATAACAATTATCCCATGACTTTTATGCGAAACTGTGAGAGAGTGTTATTTAAACAACCCGCCCAGAACAACTTCAATGGCTTTGTAGCGCTGCCGTATGTGGAGGGTGTTTCCGCCCAAGCTTCGCGTCACGTTTTAACTTTAAATATCGTGTGATAACGATCTTCGTTTTTTCATATCACTGATGAAGGCTTGAGCATTAGCCGAAACGTCTGTTTTTAGAAATAACAACAGTCAGAAGCAACCAATTTCCATAGAACTCATGACATCTCCTGACTACACTTTTTCCATTTTTAAACGGGTACAGAACATGCTGAAATGACTGACGCAAAACAACAAGAATAACCATACAGTTAAATGTTTCAAGAAGTGTGTTTTCTTATAAATTTATATTTCATTTGCTTTGTTACTTTCGTTTGCAACTTCAGGAAAAGCTTTACGTAATGAAATGAACGTATATCTAATGTCGTTTTCATCAGATCGAAGAAATTGCTTCCCCGGGAGGTAGACCTTTCTATGGTCGAGAAATCTCGGATAATATGGAATCTTCGATTCGTAGACATAAAAGGAGTTATCTTTATAAGGAAAGCATTGTTTCGTTTCGAGTTGAAATCTACCCCCTGAAAATAACCGCAGTGAAAATCTTCAATATTCTCTTCGCCCATCTGCTATCAATTTCAGTTAATTGATTTCCACCTGGTGGGGTTTATTAAGAATGTAAATTGAATTAAGACATTCGGTATAAGTTTCAATAAAATCGAATTATTTGGAAAAGCTGATGGCTTCTTGAGCTAAAGTGAAATTTTTTGGTACGGCAATGCTTAATTATGTTCTTTTAATACGATGGTAATCGTGGCACATGTTTGAGGTGTAAAATTTTATTTTCTTATACCAAGTTAGGGGTTAAGAATGATGTTCACAGCGCGTGCTACTATCGTAAACTCAACATTTAAGTCCACTGACGCGATAAAAATATGGAGTGACTTATGACAACCATTTTCGAAAGATAATTTTCCATCCCTTTTTTCTGTTTTAGTATGTTATGCCACATATTTTTCTCTCTTTTAAACAATCTCTTTAATACGTTTTTCACGCGCTAGAACAAAATCAGGCCTTGCGTTCGTCAGTTGTAATTGTGATATAAAACAAAATAATGACGTTTGCATCACAAGTTTACTAGTTTGTTCTCGTACGAAAAATATGGTTGCTGTTACGTTACATGAAAAAGATCCATAGAAAAACTAAAAAAAAGGCTCATTAATCAAATTGAGTTCTTCTTGCCAGACAAAAAAAAAATATGAATGTTATTTTACTTAATTAGCCAATCTTTTAATCAGACAATGAGAAACATCAGTAGGTAAATCTAGCAATGAATTTCTTTCATTAGTTTTCTTGCTAGCGTGCCTTTACTAAAGTAAATAATGTAATTAGGTTTGAAACCAAATCTTTAATAGGATCACTGAATTCAGCATAGTATAGTCTATCTTGTCTATGTTTGATATTGCGGTAATTCCAAATTTGGGATAATTTTGTATACCTTTGTCGAAGGTTCCCACTTTGAATCACTCTGTGTTTCTCTCAAGCAAGCGGGCAAAATTAGTTTAATTTACTGCCCATAAAAAAAGAAACCTTTGAATTTGATTTGAATCATGGTCCAATCTTAAATGTTGCTCGTATCGATGACACGTTCAGAAGAGGCCTATTCACATGTCATTGCCGCGTCTAGCCATTTGTCAATTTACGACCGTTCGGTTTGGAATTTCATGAATCGAAAAGACCGTTTTAGAGTACAATTTACCTGAAATATGCACTGAGAATTCTTCTTGTTCCGCGGGAAAGGGGCTTCGCAAAGGCTCAGTACAGTTTACTAGCGTTTTAATGGCTTATGTAAGTACTAGATTCAGTTGACATCTGTTTTGGACCGCAAAAACTAATCGTGTCTGAGTGGCCTATTTAACTCCTGCATGTTACTCAAACTGTCTCGGTTTGTTTGTTACGTGATACAAAGCTTACCTGCAATATAACGAGATTCTTCGTAAGCTCAACAGTTGTGCAGAATCTTACTTACTTTGTGCAAAATAGATTATCTCAGCTAGATATTGCTCGCAATAATTACATTTTCTGTAAAGGGACGGGTCGAATTACAAATCACATTTAATGAATAAAACGATGAAAATTGAATAATTAAAACAATTTTCTACCATGCTGTTTGAATTCAGGGTTTTACGATCTGCTAATCGCTACAAATTACTTCTTTTTCTCTGATTTGATTTCTAGCTGGTCATAACTTTGAAACTATAACGAGTTAAATTAATTTGCTCTTAAAGACGAATTCGAAGAAATCTAGGAAAAAATAGTGTTTTAGCGGTACGTCTAATGGATTATTTTTTCTTTTTGAAAAAGAGGAGTCACGGTGCTATACTAAAATCTTTGTCTCTTTGAAGTGGCGTTTCTCGTGACGTCACTGTGGTGCAAGAATCCCCTTTTTAAGGGTGCCGGCCACTTGAGCTGCGACAATGACTTCACAAGTACAGTCCGCTTTAAATAAATTTACCTTATTGTTGGAAAGATTCCGAGTTTCCCCGTTAAAATGCTTGACTCTCACATAATAATTGCGAATTTACAGCGTTTTTTCAAATTACTGTGAAGTTCTTAGATGAAGGCTACATCATGACAAAATTAACAAAAATGTTTGCAAATATGTAAATGCTTTTTATTAAGCAAAATGCAGACGGCGCATCCACTCTTTGTGAGTATAACTTCGACAACTACTGCAAAGGACGGAAAAATATATTTTTTTTATTTTTGCCTCGATTACATAACGACTACTAATGCGCTTCAGTTTTTCCTTATTTTTTCAGTGACTTAAACTTTGTTCCGAATTCTTTCGAGCACCGGAGTATACCTCGGATACAGGCAAAAGCTTTTTTATCTTTTCAGTAATGATTTGGCTGATCCCACGACTCTTCAACAGGAAATTCAACTTGGCTCTCAGGCGCCACGAATATGATAAATTGAAGAATTTTTAGCCCTGGATTAGAGAATCTGAAACCCCATTGCAATATTGTTGCCGCCAGATGAGATAAAACATATCTGGGTTTGGTGTCTAGCTTGAGGAGCGCGGTCGAATCGTGCAGACAATAAATTTCATGTCGAGTATCGTACTTCCGTTCAGGAAAAACAGGATTTTTTGTGGATCGTGTAGATAACACTACAAAAACCTTTTTTTTTTTTGTTTCATTACCTTCAAATCCTTCAGATTACACAAAGCCGAGGAAGTACTTAGGGAGAATGAAACGTTCAAAAAAAAGGAAATTGAGTAAAAGACATGGGATTTCGAGTCCCGGCGAGGAAGCTGCCACGAAAACGTAGGATACTACTAAAATGGTACATATTTACATTGGTTTTAAGCAATCATAGAATGCCCTATAAGACGAAAATATCAACGATGTTGAGTCTTCAACAACCGAAAATATTTTTGTGTGGAGAGAAAGAGAAACATCAGAATGGAAAAAATTAACCGAAAAGAAAAGAGAATGACAGAAGATGGATGTGGATGAGATTGGTAGGGATTGCGAACAATGATCTTGG